GAGGAAAGAGAAAGAGAAAGAGAAAGAGGGGAAGAGAGGAAAGAGGAAAGAGAAAGAGAGAAAGAGAAAGAGGAAAGAGAAGAGAGAAAGGAGAAAGAGAAGGAAAGAGAAAGAGAGAGAGAGAGAGAGAAGAGAGAGAGAGAGAGAGAGAGAGAGAGAGAGAGAGAGAGGAGAGAGAGAGGAGAGAGAGAGGGGAGAGAGAGAGAGATCATGCTTCGGGAATGAAAAAAATTGTTCCAGCTACGCTCCCTTTTCCCTAAATAAACAGCAGCCTTTCGTCATGTCAGATCAAACTTCCAACGTACCGTCAGGTCAAATAGCGCATTCATGCCGAGAATCCTGAGTTTGGTGAGCAGCTGCCGGTGCAGTTCGTACTCGAGGAACGGCAGTCGGTCGGAGACCTCCTTGGCCAGAACTTCAGACTTGACGTCGGCTTTTTCTCGACACACGCGGGCCTGGAGAACAGGTGTAAATAAAAAGGCTCGTCATTTACAGAGCGTACACAGACTCGGGCGAGGCAGCGACGCGGCACGTTAAATTGCAAGAAATCGCATACTTTGGAGGCTATATTACTGAAATGATATGCAAGTAGAAAAGAAAGTTCATAAGTGTTTCTAGAGCTATAGAAAGTGACCCATTCACTGAGATGAGATCTCGACCCGTCTTCTAGTTGACCCCGCTAATGATTTAACTATCGCTATAAATTGATATGCCGTCATCCGGCGTCAACGGCCCTTACTTGGACCAGCCAGCCGTGGCCAGTAACCGGCAATCCCCCGGTGGTTCAATAACCAATCACACGGCCCGCACCACCGCTCACCTGAACGAGACAGCCACGGCCGGTGACTGGAAGACCCCCGGGGGGTTCGATGGTGCTGAACACCACGTCAGGCACCTTGCTCTTTCTGGAATGATGACCAGAAGGGTATGGTCAGAGCTCCGCGGGTTGCCATCAGTCATCGGGTGTTACAGGCAGCCGGAAACTGCAGACGGGCCGCACTGGCTCCAATGGATTGGTCTTGACGTTGGTCAGTCGTTTTATAGATGTAAAGCAAATAGAACAAGAGAGCCCTTCAGCTTCGTATATACATGCATGGTCCGATCTATTTTGGGAATGGCGCGCCTGCACTTTCAGTGCGCTAACGTTCAGCTAACCTATGTATTTTCCCTTGTCTGACGGCCCTTACAAACCTCTTACAAACCTCACATCATTGCATACAGCCCATACTACCCTATTGACGACCCGTACATACCTACAGACGGCGCAGTTGAACTGGAGCGCCGATGCGGGCGCGCTGCCCTGGCTGTAGGGCAGGTGACACGGAGCACAGTTGGAAACCGACGAGTCGGGCTCCTCCAGAATCACCAGCGCCTGTGGCGAGAGCACGGGCGATAGGACATGAATGGCGTCGGCTGGTTGGGAAGGATCGCCCAAATGTAAAAGGCGGACATGTAATATTGGCAGACTGGTGCTGCCGGAAGGACCTGCCAGTGCCTGACTGAAGTTGGAAACTACTACAATCATACCAGACAAATAGGCCTGGCAGCGTCCTCGATATCCGGCTAGGTGGTTATTCGTCATACTCGTCCCTGGGCTGCTCTGTGTAGCAGTCACACTCGTAACTGAATGGTCAGTTTATCCGCCACCTTCCTATCTGGCTGATAGTGATTTACCACGCTCGTACCTGACTGGTCAGACTGGCGTCCAGCCGCAGTGCCGACCGCACCTCCCGGGAGTCACAGCGAGCGGCCGCCAGCGGCTCCGACAGACCCAGCGCGGCAAAGTTGACCGTGGCTGCCGTGCCGTAGGCGCTCAGCACGCATACGTCATCCCTAGGGACGGGGAGGGGTGGAGGTCAGGCCCGTCTCATAGGCGCTCAGCACACACACGTCATCCCTGAGGAGGGGGAAGGGTGGAGGTCAGACCCGTGCCATAGGCGCTCAGCTCAGCACACATGCGTCATCCCTGGGAGAACGGAAAGACCGTTTTTTATGGGTCACAGCCTTTATGGCAACATTAAGTCTGTCAGTTAGTCTTTGCACGCATGAACAAGCAAATGCGAATTACAAACGGACTGATTTTGCATTGAGCTTAGGTATCCGTCTGCAAGACAGTTATTTACTTCGCTCATCACTTTGTGGTAAGTGATCTAAAGTAGCGAGAGAATAAGTTTTTAATTATCATCACTGCTACAAACATCTGATCACATCTCACGCCACAGTTCCTCACCAAATAGTTGTCGCCTCTTCATATCCGAGCACGACGTTGCAGGCTAATGACTTGCAGTGCGAGCGGACCTCCGTCCGTACCTCAGCCCACCAGGCGTCTCGCGTCTCACTCTCCTCCGGGTGGTGGATACGGTCGAGAAGCTTCACAGAGCGAGCGCTCACCGTGCCGCCTGGGGGAGGGGTCGGATGGAAGGGGGTTGTTTGCTAATTGGGGCTTTAGGGCGCGCCGACTACAGAAGTCGGCGCAAAATGACCTTAGAATCTAAGTTCATTTTGCGCCGGAAACGATGCTAAAACGACGACGTGAAATATCAAGTAGGACGGCGATATAGTCGGAGCGATGAGCAGTCAACATAGGTGTACACAAAGTGATTCGGAGAGAGCTAGGCGAAACAGAGAATCAAATTAAAATATCACACCAAGCGGCGAACATCACACTGGCCACCCATTGCTTCAGGCTACTTAGCTTAATCAAATATTTGACAACATAGCTCCCATATACATCGGAAGTCCAACTCAAGCATGGCGAAGCTGAGGGTTACGGGTACTGCGGCACATTCAAGAAAAATCACTCCAATGACCCCAATCGCTCCACACTGAGTGAAGACGCACACTCAGTGGATGCACAAAGTGTTGCAATTCCACCCCCGTCCCAACTCACCGATATGCGTGATGAAGCCCGACGGAAAGGTGCGCAGTGTGATGAAGGGAAACTCTGCCGACTCGTAATTGTCCTGCTGCTGGCCTCGCTGCTGGGCTGACGTGGTCACCAGCTGGGCCAGTAGCTTCGTGTCAGCGCCGCTGGACGTAGTGCTGCTTGGGGCTTCAAGGGGAAGGAGGAGAGGCGTAAGACAGCATTCGCTCGACGTAGTTCTGCTCGGGGCTGTGAGGGGGAGGGGTCAAACGACGGGCGGCGGGCGGCGGGCTGAAGGCTGAAAGCTCGAGGATGAGAGGGGGAGGGCGAGAGTCGGACAAGGGAAGACGGAGGACAGGCGACGTACTGCCAAAAACCGTGGCCAGTGGGAGACGCAAGGGCGAGGGAGGATTCAGAAGGCAGATGATGTGAGGGATAATAGACGGTGGATGGTGGAGAAAGCAGGGTTGTCGATGGCCTTCACTATACAGTATTGAGCACTCGGCAATATGAACGAGTACCGTGATTTCAACTAGAAATAAAGTTATATAACTATATTACAGCTGATTATCCAACACCTAATACCGAGGTAGGTTAATACTTTACATACAATACAACTGCATATTAGGTATGTACAAATATACAACTGTACATGTAGAATACATACGTTATACACGGTAGTGATATGTTGCAATGATGAGGTGTCCACATGTTAAAAAAAAAACATTCTTAAAAAAAACGTTTACATCCGTGGGTGTCCTACCAGTACAGCTACTATTCCCTCACCTTTGAAGTTGGTATCGTTTTCCAGCGAGCGGCTGAGCTTGTCACCGGAATCACTCCCCTCTACCGAAGTCGTGTGGGCGGCTGGGACTCCAACTGGCGCTCCGGCTGGGACTCCAACTGGCGCTCCGGCTGACGCTCCAACTGACGCTCCGGCAGCGGCGGGGACAGAGGCGGCACTGGCGGCAGCGGGCGGCTGCGGAAGGTGGGGACTACCACACGGGTCGCTGCAAGACGAACGAGGGCCATCAGCGCGCCGGTCGGTGCCCGCGGCCCGGTACGGCGAGCGGCGCTGTCGCGGGGCGCCGCTCGCACTAACGCGAGAGGAGGATGACCGGCCGGACAGGCGCGGGGAGGGGGAGGGAGACGGGCAGGCGGCGGGAGTGGGACCGGAGGGACGGGACGGAGGGGGAACCAAACGGTCCGGGGAGGGAGCAGTCACCGGGGGAGTGGGAGACTCCACCAGCAGAGACACCATCTCTGGGGAGCGGACCAGCTGACCGGGATCACAGGAACCCTCGTCAGAGCTGACCTCCCAGCGCGCTGTGGGCGACAAGGCCTCCGCAGCGACTACCGGGAGGCCTGTCAGCGCCAGCAGCTGTTCGGAGGACACACTGTGCAGTGAGGCCATCTCAGGCGCGCCCGGTAAATTCAGCGGATCGTCCTCAGCCAGGCCTAGCGTCACGTCAGATACGCTGTGGACTGATTGGAGCGACTCCAGCGAGGCTAGGGCCGCTAGTTCTGGGTCCTCAGACATCATAGAGGCTAGTGATGGGTCCGGAACGAAACCGGTGCGTGCACCAGCACCAATCACCACCTCTGGCGCCGATACGACGTGTCGCATAACGCGGCGTGGGGGTGTCAGACGACCAAAAAGATCCCTGCGTCTCAGACAGTCGTCACCACCGCTCGACGTCGTCGACGCGGGCTCGTCCGGTGCTGGTGAGGCGATGTCGTCACAGCTGTCCAACTGAGAGACAACCTCCAAACTACCGGCAGCCGAGCCGGGCTGACTCTCATCCGGGCACCACATTATGTCACCGCTACTGTCCCGCTGAGGGAGTCGAGAGGCGGCTGGCGCGTCCCCATCAGAGAGCAAGGTTTGAACGTCCCCACTGCGACACACGATCCCAGACTGCCGGAATAGCTCACTGACTGTGGTTGGGAGTGCTCCGCGCGAAGATCCGTCCCCACTGATGCTAGATGGGAGAATCTCATGGGTCGAGCCGGCAGCTGGCGAGGCAACCATCGTGCCCGAGGACTGGTCACTGGCTGACTCGGGTTTAGACAGGGGCGGAGAGAGCTCTCCTAGGGGAACTGGGGACGGATGAGGAGCGGGGCACGCGTCGCCGGACCGATCATCCTCCGTGTTAGTTAAACGGGCCAGACTATCACCACTGTCGGGGTATAGGGAGAAACTCACAGGCGCACACACACCAGAACTCTCATCGTTAGAAAGACTATCCGAACTATCAGGGTACAGGGTGAACTTGACTGGGTATGGCACCGGGTTATCCAGGTTGTCTAAGTAATCCTGTGAGAAGCTCTCCAGATCTAGCACTGGTTCCTCGTTGTCATCGCATGCATTATCGGTGCTCAGGCTGGGATAGAGAGACGCTACCTCTACTAACATGTTCATGCTGGAAATGTACACCACGTCATGCGCGCTGAGACTGTCCAGGGCCAGCTGGAGCGTGGAGTTGGGGATGTCGGTGCTGCGCCGCTCCGCCTCGTCGCCCGTCTCGCTGGCTGTGTCCTCCGAGGAGCTGATCACCATGACAGGCCGCTCGCGCTCGGCGTCACCACCGGCATCACCATTCTCAGCAACATCGTCACCAGCGGCATCACCCTCAGCGTCACCAGCATCATCATCACCATCTTCAACTGTGTCTTCGCCAGGCTCACTGGGATTCTCGCTGTCATCAACATCGTCATCGTCATCGTCTTCCACTGCGCTTCCAGCAGCCTCGCTCACAGAGTTGAGCGAACCCAGTCGGCGCGGAGTTCCATCACAGGACGAGGTCAGTCTCCGCCGACGGCCGGCGGGTCGGGCTTTCTTCTCATACCTCGCTGCAGCCTCGATCACCGGCTGGAAGTTCGGTGTGCTAAACGCCTCTCTACTGAGCGCTCGCGCGCCGGTGCGACGCGAGCCGCGACGTCGGAAGCTCAGTCTGTCTTTCACAAACTGGTGAGCGGCGGCTAGGATTCCACGTGAGGCGGCCGGCGCCGGCGCGGCGAACGGTCGCGGTGAGGGCGGAGTCGCTGGCGGCTGCTCCTGTTCTGGAGTTGCCGGCATCAGCTGTACGGACGGCACGGGACGGAGGCCGGCCGACGTGGCGGTGGAGCCCTCGACCGCAGAGCTGCCGGATACCCAGGGAGGACACGGAGCCACTCAGCAGACACAGCCACAGAGAGATGGAGAGAAACTCGGCGGCGGAGCAGGGGAAGCACCAGGCGCGAACGGAGCCGGCCAGCGAGCGACGCTAGCCGTGAGGGAGTGCGGGGACACTGGCATCATGCAGCAGAGATATATTAAAATAAAGTTGGAAACTGGATCCGATCGTGCCTGGTGACCTCCAGTGCTTCGCCGCGTGTTCCCAAAGCCAGCCCGTGAACCCCGAACTGCCCAGAGCGACAGCAGAAACAGTGCACGCTATACAGTGCATTGAGCAAAGCGCCAACTCTAGCATACAATTATGAGCCCCATAATAAAAGCACAGAGATGATCATATATGCATTCATGGCTTGATGCCATTACATACAACCCCAAATAGAGCAAAGACCCTGAGACGTGCAGAGCCAAAACAGACACATTCCAAGCAACAGAGTGAGATAAAGCCAGACATGAAAAAGCACCCCAAAGACAGGGCAGAGAGGAATGCTAAAACCAAACCCTAAGAAAACCAACATAAGAGGGGAACACTTTATTGACACTGCCCAGTCACCAGGGCAGACTTAGGTCGTCTTCAAGCTAAAATTCCGAGACGCTAGCGTGGAATCCGTGATAAGGAAATTCTGGCAAATCGCTACGATACTAGCGGATCAACGGAACCTTACCTCAATGAAGTCAAAGAAAGAATGATTCTGAAGGCTAGGATATTGAGCTATGAATACAGTAACTACGATGTGGAAGCTACGATGCGATAGGTATGATATTGGAAGCTGAGGTCATAATATGATAATATGTCTAGGCTCACTATAAAGGCTAAGTACGTCTAGCTGCAATATCATACATATATCCTTCTTTTGACAGTTAAGCAGTCCACCTAGTGCAGTCCAGGGAGCTGTGATAGGATCGGCTGGGTGAGTCAGCTCAGTCAGTCTGCCGCCGACTGCGGAGAGGACTGCAGAGTGGACTGCGGCCTGGTCTCACCTGTCCCGGTCGCGGCCGCTGCCCGGCTGGCGACTGAGCGGACTGGGACTGCTGGGGCGCGCCTCAGTCCGCACCAGACTGACGGCTGTGCCGATCCCGCGCACCACGATACCCGTCTCACCCTCCAGATCAAAACACTGGCGGTACCTGCACAGAGGAGGGAAGGGGGCATTACAAACAAACGAGCCAATACCAATCAGTCGGTAACCACGATATAACCCCACTCTACCGGTATACAACAGCCGGCAGCGGAAAAACACGTAAGCCAGATTTCATGATTTCCTACCAAACTATAATTATAATAATAACATTTTGGATCAATAGAGCTGCTAGGTACGCTTATCCCTCCCCTGAGCTTTGTAAATAAGCCGAGCTCTGCTTGTTTTGTACGTTGCTTTTTCTAAATTCGTGAAAAGATAAGACCCACGAAGCTCTCCTTTCGTAATTGACAAGCCCGAAACAGCAGCCTGCCTTTCACCCACCCAATGACGGCGTTCCCTCCAGCCTCGATGACGTTCACTCCGATTCTGCGCTGCACCTCGCCAGAGAGTTTGGAGAAGAGCGTCTGTCGCGCCTCGTTGGACGCCCGGGGAGTGCGGATCTTGTCAATCCACTGGTACTCGGGGTCGTCATTCACCACCAGCTCGTGCACGAAGCCCAGCATGGCCTGCACGCAGTGGCCGGCAGGCACACACGGACCTGAAAGGGCGCACATGGGAGATTACAATAAACAACAGACATCGAAAAACTAGGAGATAAACTGTCAACAGAAATCGTAAGACACGTCGTAAGAGCTATTAACAATAAAATTATTAGCAACTAACACACTAGCAATGGCAAGTATTTACATCATTTGTTAGCGATCGATACCCTATTGGCACATACGCCCTCCGCCTAATGAAAAACAACGTCTCTGGGATGGTTTAAATACTTTGTGACGCAACCGCCGGCAAAACCTCGCGACTGTCGCGAGCGCTGGCAATGTCCCGTCGTTCCCGTGTCAGTAGAGCCAAGGGTGTGAGACGATAGGTCAACTTCAACCCATGGCTGAACCAACCTCGGCCTTGGGCCGCTGCCAGGGACGGAACTACGATCACCAGCTCGGTAAACGATACATTCTACCGGTGATTTGCTACTTTTACTCGACGCAGAACGATACACGGGAAAAGGAACAGTTACTAAATTAGTTAGAAAATTGGATGCATATCTTTTTAGAGCGCATCTAGCTAGTTTCACTCTGGCCTAAACAAATGTCATCGAGGAAATGTCCGATTAAGCAAACGTACGTGACATCGCCGAGCAATCACCATCCACTCACTGGAGAAGTACTGCACACCGCAGGACGAGTGTCTGAACTTGTTGAAGTCGCTGAAGAGGTCCACCTTGACCATGACGTTGACCTCTCCGCGGATACCGTGCAGGGTATCGTAGATCGGAATCCAGCCAGAGATCACGGAAGGTCCACCTGTGAGCGAGATTAAAATTAGAACTGAACAATACAAAGATCATTCAATTAACAAGCGATGTGTGAGATGCGGCCAGACGAAGCAGTGAACAAAACGACAGGGGAATATCAATATTACCAGTAAAACGCCTTTTGGGCGAAGAACGAGCGAGCGAGATAGTGAGCCCTGCACGTGCGGAAGGGCGAGAGGGTGCTTCCAACGGGCTTGTGCAAGGCATCCTTCTAACCGGTCGCTAGCGGTGTGCCAAATTTGAACGCAATCGGCCCAGCCGTTCCTGAGATCTGGAAGCGGCATTCTGCACGTGCGCACGTGCAAACGGGGTCCAAAATGACTTTTGCACGGCACCCTACTAACTGGTCCCCAACCGTGTACCAAATTTGAGCGCAATCGGCCCAGCCGTTCTCGAGATCTGGAAACGCCCCCTGCACGTGCGCACGTGCAGTAGCACCCTAACCGCAACACATGGGAATGCATTGCCTGGTGGGTGCCTACCTGTATGCCAAGTTTCAGCGAAATCGCCCCAGTTATTACCGAGCTACTGAAATGGGAACAAATTTGGCACCTCTTATTGTTGTATTTTGCACGTGCAGTGGGGGTCACTCACATAGATGAAGAGTATCCGACCTTTGGTAGAAGGGATGCAGCTACCCTATAAAAATGACCGCAAGACAATCGCTCAAGCCGCTGCTGAGATATGGGCCTCTCAAAATCATTACTTTTGCAAAACTGCTTGAACACCCTTGACTTTTCACGTGGCACGTGCCACGGCGGTCACTGAGATGTATCAAAAGTAGTCAATTACGGGGTAGAAGGGATGGGGCTACCCAACAAAAAAGACCGCAGGCCAATCGGTCCAGCGGTTGCTGAGATATAAGCCTCTCAAAAGCGTTACAGGCCGGGCCGGGCCGGGCCGCTCATACTGAGATTTTTCCGTTATATTGAAAAGACTCACTTCGCTCGCTGCGCTCGCTCGCTCGTAACTAGTAGACAAGTGTCTAGAAATCGGTAATGGATTAACTTACGTCGAAGATATTGAATTATTTAACTGAAATAAATGGCTGCAATCAATTATAGACGCAACGCAAACGAACGGCTAATAGCTAATATTTTCAACACAAATGCAGCTAGCAAAGCGGATGGCTGAAAACATTCGAGTGAAGCGGAGTATGGTTTGGGGCAACACATTTACGATAGGTATGCGACTATGCAAAGCACAGCGGGGAGAACTGAGGACTACCGACCTGCGGACCCGGCGGGCGCCGTGTCGGCCCGGCTGATGAGCTCAGGAGCCAGCAGCGGACTGAGACTCAGGTACACCTTGCCTATGGCGTCGTGGGCAGAGTACGTGTCGTGGTCCATTACACGGATCTGCAGAGGCTCGTCCTGGAGCTCGGCGTCGTCCTGAACCTGTAGACACAAAGACAGACAAGTGCGGGGGAGGGATGAGTGAGTGGGAGCACTGAGAAGTGAGAAGTATGGGTTAGCGGGTGTCAGAGAAGGAACGAGGACCCTGGGGTCAGCCAGTAATGGAATATCATCCGGCAGAGAGTTGTCCTGTGCCTAGCAACAGCCGGGCATGTCGGTGATGGCCGAGAGATGGGATATGAACCCCATGGAGTGGAGTTATTGATCGATGGGGCAGGAGCATTACAGCTGGTCACTTAGTGGATGGGCGAGAGACTCAGCAGATCAATAGACATCATTATATCTCCAGTTGTCCATGGAAAAGCGAGCAGGCTGTCTAGGTTGCTCAGGAAACTTTATATTCAGCGCACATACATTTTCCGTACAAGTGTAAGTAAAAGTAGCATGATAAAACATTCTTATTGCGTGAGCTGGCGATTTAACAACGCCGACTGCTTATCAAACTTCCTCGAAAGCATAACATATCTAAACAGAAACAGATTAACTTACCGGGAAACTCTCACCTCAACAGACACCAAGAGGCATAAGCACTAAGCAGTATGTATTTAACGTGTGCATGCGTTTGGCACTGAGCAACTAGCCTCGGTTATCGCGGATGTTCTATGGATGTTTAATACAATACAATTCACACCATCAGCGCCACTATGACCTACCTCGAACCGAAACCAGTCCGAGTTCCACTGGGGGTTCAGCGAGCGTCGGCACACGTCTGTCTTCTGTGTCACCGTGCCCAGCCGGATCTCAACGAACGCGTCCGTCGTGTCGTTGGCTCGGTCCATGACCGGTAGGTTCCGTCCGGCCAGCACCCGTACCTTGACCTTGCCCGGCATGGTGGGTCTGCGGGCAGCTCCTCAGCTGGAGACTGCAGAGGAAAGGATGTTAAGAGACAGAGTAATGTTGAAGTGTGGTGATGTGAATTGTGAGAGGCTGAGGTTACAGAGCAGTCAGCAGGGCATTGATTATGCTTATGGAGATTTTACTTATAGATTTAGCTCAAACAGCTTAATGGGCAGATTGACAGCCAAAACCAACACTAAAGAAAGGCTGTGAGCAGCTATTTATGCACCTTAAACTTTGAACTCTACCTGTACTTGGGTTGGCATTTGGCTGTACTGAATACTGATATTTACCAATGAGTGCATCAAAAAAAGAAAATTCGCTGGTACGGGGACCCGCAGTTGCTACTGTACACTAACCCCAACTCTAGCCGTCTGTCCTGTCCAGAAAGAACCGATAACATTGATATCGACTGCCGGTCCCTGTACAAGAGCAGCTGAGGTTTTCTGTGCATGCCCTCTGAAAGCTTATCGTTGTTCCCTGTGAGGGTGCTGGGACAATTTACCCAGGGTCGCTGTACAGTAGCAACTGCGGGTCCCCGTACCTATTGAGCATTTTTTGGTCACTGTATATTTTATCAGCAATCTGCTGATTTTACCATATATGGAAAGTGTCCACCTATCTCCGGACCTCATTGGTTACGGAGCGAGCGAAGCGAGCGTAGTCTTTCCTTAGATTAACGGAAATTTCTGAGTATGAGCGGCCGGCCGGCCGGCCGGCCGGCCGTGGTCACGCTTTTGCGAGGCTTATATCTCAGCAACCACTTGACCGATTTACACGCGGTAATTTTTGTAGGGTAGCTTCATTCCTTCTACCAAGTATTGGACTATTCCCGATGCATGTGGGTGACCGCTTATGCACGTGCCACGTGCAAAACGAAGAGGTGTCACTTTTGTAATTGCTGCAATATCTCGGTAACTACTTGGCCGATTGCGCTGAAAGTTGGCATGTAGGTAGACACCCACTAGGCAATGCATATCCATGTGCCAGAATTGGGGTGCTGCTGCACGTGCGCACGTGCAGGGGTCGATTCCAGATCTCGAGAACGGCTGGACCGATGGCGCTCAAATTTGGCACATGGTTAGGGACCGGTTAGTAGGGTGCCGTGCAAAAGTCAGTTGGGACCCATTTTGCACGTGCGCACGTGCAGGGTGCCGCTTCCAGATCTCGAGAACGGCTGGGCCGATTGTGCTCAAATTTGGCACATCGCTAGAGACCGGTTAGTAGGGTGCCGTGCACAAGTCAGCTGGAGGTACCCCCTCGAAATTTCGCACGTGCAAGGCTCACCCTCTCGCTCGCTCCGTTAGTCGCCCCAAAAGGCGTTATACTGGTGATTACGGAGCGAGCGAAGCGAGCGTAGTCTTTCCTTAGATTAACGGAAATTTCTGAGTATGAGCGGCCGGCCGGCCGGCCGGCCGTGGTCACGCTTTTGCGAGGCTTATATCTCAGCAACCACTTGACCGATTTACACGCGGTAATTTTTGTAGGGTAGCTTCATTCCTGCTACCAAGTATTGGACTATTCCCGATGCATGTGGGTGACCCCTTATGCACGTGCCACGTGCAAAACGAAGAGGTGTCAGTTTTGTAATTGTTGCAATATCTCGGTAACTACTTGGCCGATTGCGCTGAAAGTTGGCATGTAGGTAGGCACCCAGTAGGGACTGCATATCCATGTGCCAGAGTTGGGGTGCTGCTGCACGTGCGCACGTGCAGGGGTCGTTTCCAGATCTCGGGAACGGCTGGACCGATTGCGCTCGAATTTGGTACACGGATAGGGACCGGTTAGTAGGGTGCCGTGCACAAGTCAGTTGGGACCCATTTTGCACGTGCGCACGTGCAGGGTGCCGCTTCCAGATCTCGAGAACGGCTGGGCCGATTGTGCCCAAATTTGGCACATCGCTAGAGACCAGTTAGTAGGGTGCCGTGCACAAGTCAGTTGGAGGTACCCCCTCGCAATTTCGCACGTGCAAGGCCCACCCTCTCGCTCGCTCCGTTAGTCGCCCCAAAAGGCGTTATACTGGTAAGCATAGACCACCTGAGTACCACCAGTGAGAAACAGAAAATTGCAGCATGCTGTTAAAAGGAAATTGCTAGTGAACAGCCCTCTGTAAATTATTTACAGCGCAGCAATTCATTGACAATGACCTATGGAACAGTCAAGAGATGACTGATTTTCATCGGTATTTTATAAAAATATCACTTCTTTTATGGTGTGTGGTACCAAAAGTTATAGTATGAATACAATGGTTTTATTCAACTAAATTCGACCGATGTGAGTGTGCACCTGAGGACGAAACAGAAACAACAGATATTAGCGAGAGCACCACATTCGACAGTAATGGGTGGTTTATCACATTTTCCCCCGCTGTGTGAAAGACATGAGTAGGCAGAAATCGAGTAGCAATGTAACGAAAAAAAGACAGAGTAGGCAGAAATCGAGCAGCTATGTAACGAACAACGCAGCAGGCGTCTTTGCACACGTTTGCATAAGCTAAGGCGCACGTCTGGTTTCAATGAGCGCCTCAGTACACGCTCTTATATGTTAAGGCGCACCACTGGCTTCCTTGTCCGGTTAGACCGACGCACTTCGGTCGCCGGTTCTGACTCGCTCGATGGCGGCGCGCTTGAGGGTCCCGGGATCGCCTCTGACTCGTGCGATGGCGGCGCACTTGAGGGCACCGGGGACTGGCGGCTCGAGAGCGGCGTGCTCGAGGGCTCCGAACGGATGCCCGGGGACCCCGGCTCGCCCGCTTCCTCTCCCTTCTCGTTTCCTTGTTGCTGTGCACAACCGCCGGGGGCGAGATCTCGCACAGAGACAGTGTCGACCTTGCCGCCGGGATAGCGCACGAAAGCGTAGTGCGGGTTTGCCTCCAGGAGTTCGACTGGATCGACTGGCAGGTCAAGCTTTCCGCGGACGTATTTCTTCAAGAGAACCTGCCCGGGGTTGAGGAGCCAGGACGATAGAGAAGTCCCCGTCGCAGACCACCGCTGGAAAGAGAACATCCCTTCGTGTGGGGTGGCATTTGTTGCTGTGACGCTTCTCGGCTGTGTTCAGAGTGCGTGAGAAGGCCACAGGACGCTCGTCTTGGGGAGAGTCGCTGCGATGGCTTCGTTGGAAGCGTCTGTTTCGATGGTGAATGGGGCGTCATCTCTGATGACGGCTACGACCGCTTGTGAGATGTCCTTCTTCAGCTGCTGGATAGCCGCTCTGCAGTCGGGATTCAGAGGGAACGACGATGCAGAGATGAGGGGACGGATCTTCTCAGAGTATGAGGCGACCCATCTGGCGTAGTACGCGAACAGGCCAATGAGCCGTTGCAGAGACTTCTTGTCGCGGGGTTCCGGCAGCTCTTGAAGTGGACGTAGTCGTTCGGGGTCCGGTCTCAGCTGGCCTCGCTGGATGGAATACCCGAGGATATTCACCGTCTCCAGGCCGAACTTGCACTTGCTTCTGTTCAGCGTGAGGTGGAGCGCATTGGCAACTTCCCAGAAGCGCCGGAGGTTCTCATCGTGCTCCTCCCTCGTCTGGCCGCAGATGGTCAGGTCGTCCAGATAAGCATAGGTCTCCTTCAGGTTGTTGGCCGCGATGATGTCATTCATGACGCGCTGGAAGGCGGCTGCGCCGTTCGTCACCCCCATGGGGATTCGCTTGAATTGGTACAGCTTTCCTGCCGGTTGGAACGCTGTGTAGGGTCTCTCAGATGCGTCGATCTCGATTTGGTAGTAGGCGCTGGAGAGGTCGAGGACGCTGAAGAAGCTGTTTTTCCCGACCTTGTTGACGAGCTCGCCGATGTTTGGCAGAGGATACGCGTCCAGTTCAGTGAATCTGTTGATAGTCTGAGAGAAGTCAACAACCATCCTTTTCTTCTTGTTTTCCGTGTGTGTGACGACAACTTGGGCACGCCAGGGTGAGAGACTTGGCTCGATGACGCCCTCGTTTAGCAGACGTTGAACTTCGTTCTCTATGAACTTCTCGTCCACGTGGCTGAAGTGTCGTGCTCTGGTCGCGATGGGATGGCAGTCGGGGGTGAGGTTGCTGAAGAGGCTCGGGGATGCCGCCTGACTGACTTTTATCTGCGCGAGATTGCAGATACTGAGCTCGGGTTCGTCGCCACCGAGCTCCAGGGTTACATACACCCTCGTGTCTTCGGAGGAACGGCATGCCGAGAATGACGTCCGTGCAGAGATCCGGGAGGATGGACAGTTCGACCTCCTGGTACTCCCGATCGTCAACGGTCACGGTTGACACGCAGTATCCTCGCACCTGTGTTGAGAGACTGGACGATGCCATGGAGACTTTAGACGATCGTGGCAGCACCCTCATGCCGAGTACGGGGACGAGCTTTGCGCTGATGAAGTTGTCAGAGCTCCCTGTGTCAATGAGAGCTGTAACCTGACGCCCGTTCACTCTCGCGCTCACTGTTGCTGGCGCGTGAGTAGCGTCGGCAGAGCTTGAGGCTGCGAGCGTGGGCGAGCGAGAGCACTACATTCGACAATGGGTGGTTTATCACATGGTGCTTGAGCATCTACACCTAATCAGTATGCAATGACTCTGCAGTTACTTAGTCATATTACACACCCAAACCGGAAAAAAATAGGTACAGGTCTCGCGGGTTTTGGCAGTAGGTTTTGCACCTAGAAAATTTAGTGTACTTCAGGCTAAATCTTTGTCGTCTTAGCTTTTAAGTGTTGAAGATGTGATCGACTTGTTGGGTAACAAGCCGGCCATGATCGTGTGAAATGGCTTCATCGTAGATCGATTAGTTTCTGAGATATAACCTGAAATTTAAAAGTGCAAAACCTACCGCTTAATCTCGCGAGACCTGTACATGTTACCATTGACATATACAGCGACCGACGGGCAGCGTAACAGACGCATTGCTCCAAAATTTTGACGCAGCATTCTGCGTAACTGCGTCTGCCAAAATTTCGGTGCACAGGGTATCAGTCTCTGAGGCATCCTGCGTAGTGTATGGATTTTTTTCCAATCTGGCTACACACCACCTACACCGCATAGAGCAGTTTTGAGTCATGTAGAGAGCTGTAATAGCAGTCATACGTCATGACCAAAAGTAGACAGTACCTTCATGCAGTATACTTGGAGCAGGGAACAAGAATCAAGAATCAAGAATCAAGGTTGTTTGGGCTCTGGAAGAAGACGTCGAGGTCTATGTTGTAGCCCATTTCTTTTTTGAATTACACGTTCTTCTACATCAGTTTGATTTCTCTTGGGTCAGTCTTGTCTGTCTGCCCGATGTTTGTCGTATCTTGACTTAAATTGGTTAGATGTTTTTGCCATCTTGATGCGAGAGCTTAACAAATTCCATTTATTTATAACTCTGTGAGAAAAATCTTCCTCTCTTCAATGTTCGGTGGTGGGGCTTGTACAGTTTGAGGTAATCTCGCTCTGTTCGGTTTCTAACGTTAAATAATTGGGTGAGGTCACACTCGTGGAGCTGGTGGAGGATTTTGTGGGTCTCCAGTAAGTCTCCCCGTTCTCTTCTCTCTTCTAAGTAGGGTGGTAAGCTTTAGCTGTCTCAGCCGCTCTGGATAATCTAACCCTTGCATTCCCACAACTCTTCTGGTAGCTGCTCTTTGAACTGCTTCAATCTTCTTGATATTATATTTCTTATATGGAGACCACACTTGGGGACAGAATTCAATGTGAGGGCGAACAAATGTTTTGTATGTGAGATTAAACATTGCCGGCCTCAGCTTTTCAAAGGTTCTCCTTACCATGCCCCAACTGGCATATGCTCGTTGAGTGCATTTGTTAATATGTTTGTTGAACTCCAGCGAGGAGTCAACAATAACACCCAGGTCTCTTTGCTCGTTGGTGTTCTCCAGCTGAGTACCACCGAGCATGTATACTGGTCTGTCGGACATCATTTGTTTGGTACCGATTCGAAGCGTCTGGCACTTGGAGGCATTGCAGCATAGCTTCCATTGACGAGACCAGTGCTCAATCTCTTGGAGATCCTCTTGTAAACGCTCCACATCTTCATGTGACTTGATGTGTCGGTAGATTTTACTGTCATCAGCAAAAATTTGCACCTGGCTTACTATTTGATCCGGCATGTCATTAATAAACAGAAGGAACAGGGTGGGACCGATCACTGAGCCCTGTGGGACGCCACTTGCCACCTTTGCCCAGCTTGAGTGGGCTCCGTTGACTACAACTCTCTGTTTCCTATCGTAGAGGAAGTCTTCAAGCCAGTTAAGCAGCTGACCGCCTATTCCTGATCGGTATAATTTATGACAAAGTCTTGCATGTGGTACGGTGTCAAAAGCTTTCGCAAAGTCTAGGTAGACAATGTCTGTAGGCACCTTTTCATCGAGGCTGCGGCTGCAGTCTTCCAAGGTGGAGAGGAGGTTTGTTAAACACGACCTTCCGGAAACAAATCCGTGTTGGCGTGGGTTCAAAATGTTATTCTGCAAAAGATGACTCATTATTTGTTCATTGACGATTCTTTCCATCACTTTACTACATATGCAGGTTAGACTAATTGGGCGATAGTTTTGGGCTTCAGTTCTTGATCCCTTCTTATGGACTGCTGTGACGTATGCCATTTTCCATAGACGAGGGACATGTCCAGTGTCCATCGAGTTTTTGAATATGATCCTCAGGGGTACTGCTACATTTTCTGCGAGTTCAGCTAGGAGACGTGGGTGAAGATCATCTGGCCCTGGTGACTTGTAGGACTTCAGCTCTTTCAGTAGCTTGATGATATGTTGAAGAGGTATTTCAACTGAATGTAATTCGGGCACATCTGGATGCCGACAGTGGGTGAAAGGACACATTTGCTCGTCTGACAATGAGGAGAAGAATTTGTTGGCGTAAATCAAGTCAGAGTCATCTTCTAACGTGAAAACATTCTTGAAGTGTTGGTTGAGGGCAGCGGCAGTTTCTTCATATGATGATGATGGGGTTCCGTCTGCCTTAGTAACTTGCCCCACCGGCTCTCGAACTTTGTTTTTGGAGTTACAGTACGCATAAAACAGCTTGGGATTAGTTTTGATCTGATGAAAAAGTTTTTCTTCGTGCTTTGCTTTGATGTTACGTAGACCATAATGAGCCCTTTTTCTTGCCTTGATGTATTTCTTTCTATATCTTTCCAACTCTGGTAGCTTTAACCTCTCTGCCCTCATGTAGGCATTCCAAGCACGGTGTTTCTTTGTAATCTTCCTTTTTGCTTCATTGTTAAACCACATTTTATTATTATCTCTGCCCCTACACACCGTTTTCACAGGAACACATTCTTTCCGGATTTGCATTAGGTGTTCAACCAGTAAATCATACTGCTCATCGCTACTTTTGTTTGACAGCATGGCAGTCCAGTTAACTTGGGAAGCCATGTTCCTTGCCTTTTCATAGTCTCCCTTCATGTAGTTCCACACCGTTTTTAGAGGCTTATTATTTTTCAAACATCTGACATCAGGAATAAGTAGGTCTGCTTGTATGACGCCGTGATCGCTTTTGCCGAAGGGAGGTAATACCTCAGCGCCTTCAATGTCATCTGCTCGACTTGTTATCAGTAGGTCCAAAAGACTGGGTTGATTTGATCCCCTTGCTCTGGTAAAGTGCCTCATGTGCTGGTGTAATCCATTTGTTTGCAATACGTTCAGCACTTCAACTGGTGTGCTGAAACCCTCATTGTTCTTATTCTTAGACGACGAGTCATTCCACGAAATCTCAGGAAGGTTGAAATCACCACATATTAACAGGTTGTTTGTTAACGTTGAGGCTTTGGTAATCAATTCTATCAAAATTTCGTCATTTCTTCGGCAGCTGTTTGGTTTTCTGTACACAATACCCAGAAGCATTCTGGTGGTTCTTGATACCTTTATCCAGACCCAACAAGATTCTTTGAATTGACTTGCATAATCGTCAAGTTCGTGACACGTTTTCATTTCAAGCCCGTCTTTTACGAACGCCAGTATTCCACCATGTCTTTCTTCCAAATTATCCTGGCGATGAATTTGAAACCCATGTTTCCGTAACAGTGAGTCTGGCAGGTAAATGTTACAGTTACTCTCAACAATTGCTAGTATGTCAGGCTTAAAGGATTCCAGGTACAGATGTAATTCAGGTAACTTGTTACCAATCCCATCAGCATTTGTGAAAGCAACTTTGAGTTTGAAAGATAATCTTGAGCTTTGAACATTTTTGCAACCATCAGGGTCTTTATCTAAGCTGTCACAGACCCTTTCTTGTCTTCCTTTAACGTCTTCCTTGTCTTTCTTCAAAGAGCTCCTCCCCTCTTTGGTCTTTGGGGACAACACGCCCCCGAAATATACGGTGGGCGGTCAACAGTCACAAATTCTGCAAAATGATGAAAAGCAGTGGTAGAACAGCAATAACGTCCTGCCAAGCCAAAGCCCATGCCCACGTAACCTCACCTTACCTTGACCTCCAGCAGAAACAAATGTCCAATTGTGATTGGATCTGGATATTACCAGGGGGTGTCGAAGTCTAGTAGGAAAATCTGGCAAATTCCCTGCGTGACGTCACGTCGGGACTGACCGACGGCACTTTGCACTGAAGGATACGGCGGATTGGCTATTTTTGAAAAATGATTAAAAATACTTATGTGCTGTTATGACACATAAAACGCTTATCAGCATGTTCCTCATCATGTGGTAAAGCCATATCCGTGGTCGAAAATAGCTGAGCCCCTCCCAATTTCCAACCACCGACCTCATAAGCAAAGGATGTAAGCGTAATCCTTAAGGGCGACTTTCCAATACATATCCGTACATATGCGTCCTTATGGAAATCGGTAGTGTGGCGATTGGCGACGCGCGCGACATCTGTGTGGCGACCAAGTGGCGACTGTGGCGACACCTGGTGGCTGCTTTTCTGCTGTATGTAGGCATTGGGGTTTTGCCAGATATGGTTCCTACTGCTACACAACTATGTTGACCCAATACTAGAAAGTTATTTTGCCAGTAAAAGGCAAGCAAATTGAAAGTCAATTTATAAAATTGCTTATAAATGATAACGAGAAAATAATAAAGAAGTTTTGATTGAATAGTTATCAAAATACCCAACCGGTAAACTATATTCTGGTAGATTTAGTAGAAATTAGTCCGTGCAACCTTGTATTTAGGGCCTTGGATATTACAGGATACCGCTATCACAATAATTATGCCCAATGCTTTTACATATCATATCCTTGGCTACATATGATATTCTCCCCAAAACACCAAATATCTCTGAACATCGGACTCAAAGCACGACTGCAACTGAGAGGAGCTTGAGCAAGAGCAAAGCCTTGGCAAAGCCAGGAGCAAAGCAAGAGCCTTGCTAGCCACCGGTCACATCTTATTGTAGTCTGATTTTAAAAATCTTTGATGTAATTTTCATAAATATCTGCTTGGTATAATTGATCATGCTTTTAAAAGCGGCCTTTCCTGCAATTATTTGAATAAGATAATTATCTTAAGGATATTTGGTGCTGAATTTTTTCAAATAAACCAACAATTCATCATTTCATTTGTAATATACGTCATTTTTGTTAAAAATTTATTATTCTCCTTTCTTCTTCCTTGATATTCTACAACTATTGCGCATTTGATTCATTCAAGATTAAAGCTGTGATCACGTTGGCCTTTGAGTGCAGCCAAGTGCAACAAGCCCGTTTCCGACAACTGGGCGGAATATTCATGACTCGCCCAAGAACGCATACAATTTCGCCAGCAGCATGCCAAAGAATGGCCAAAGACTATAAAATGTACTTTGCTTATGGCCTCGGTCGTGATCCGTGATTGAGCAAATTTTGGAAACGGATTTCTTTTAACTTTTTAGCATTAAAACTAAGTTATTGTGGCCATAGAAATTAATTTTCTTATGAAAAACATGCAAAGTAAGCTTGTAGCTTTTGATGTTTGAATGTTAATGGACCATTTGATGATACTGCAAATTATTTAAAAGAACTACAGAAATGTGAACAGTCAACAGAACTGAATTGTTGTTTCAAATGTGTCAAATGCATGTTTCATTTTAGCCTAAATTTGTCTTATCATAAAAAGAAGCATTTGGAAGCTCTTGCTCCATCAAGAAATACGGTGTGATCGGTGTGATATGGCCATTAGCGTAAACGGCGTAAACGTTTGGTTTGCACATCGCATATTCATATTTATATTGATGAAGTTGTTGTGGTGTATTGAGTTTATTGGAAAAATAGAATAATAAAGACGAATTGCAGATAAGCGCTGCCAATAACATTGCTGGGCATTCTTATTGAGGTTTAGCTTTGAAGCACATTAGTTTTATTAGTCATGGTAAGTGATGACTTTCTTCTTTTTTTTTGTCTTCTCAGGCAATATTGCTATAGTACAACGATGCAAAGTTTCTGGAGCTTGTCCTATTTTCGGACGCCGGTGAAAACAGGGCGCCGGAGGGCATATTAGTCACGTGATATTTGGAACTCCTCCCGCTCTATGGGCCTTCTATATGCCAAACGTCACCTGTAAATTTAACGAACCTTGATCAAATCGCCCCAGGCGCCCTGTTTTCACCGTCGTCCCTATTTTCTACCTTTCGCCGAGTTCGTTAACCTTCAGAAGATTTTATGGGCCTGTTCCAGCGCCTCCAGAAACCTCCAAAACCTCCAGAAAGCTCTAGAATCCTCCAGAGAGCGTTCCAGCGCCTCCAGAAAGCTCCAGAAAGCTCTCGCCAAAGCTCCAGAAACCTCCAGTAGCCTCCAGAGAGTTGGGAGGTCCAAATTTCTCTGGAGGCTCCATTGACCTCTATAGTAACCTAGACGGCCCACTGCCGCGCCGCGGCCGGCACGGAATCGTTACCGCATGGGGGCGCAGTGGCGCCACCTGCAAGTGGTCAGAAGTTCCCGGCCCCTGTAGACGGTCTATGTTAAGTGGGTAACTTTTGAAGTTGATTTTTGTGAAAGATACAGCCTGTGGATGGCTGAAAAGGATTGTTATGTAACTGAACATGCTTTCTTGAGGTGTGATGTGCTCGATTGCCAACAGGATGGCTCGAGCCATGCAATAAAGTGCATTATTTCAGATGACCCGGACGCTGGCAGTACAAAGCATATCGAAACGTAGAGAGCCTCCCTGCCGTAGGTAAGGCCATGCAGGACCAGGAATTCGTACCTACTTCCTACTCAGGTGGCAAAAGATGATCAATTAGCTACCGAAGGGGAGGGCTCCGTTCGACCCCCGCCCTATTCGGGCGAAAGTATTACCCTCGCCCGTAGGGGGGGGGGGGGGTCAAACGGACCCTACCTCAGTTTTTCGCGAATAACTCGCGTAAAAAGCGTCCGATCACGACGAAACTTTCAGCACCCTCGCGATAATCAATTATACACCTACCCTGAAAGTGTCATGACCTTGAGCCAAATGACCTTTGACCTGTGACCTACTTTTCAAGACCATGTTTGGCCGGAATCGCAATTCGGCACATGGCTGGCATTAACCGCGCGTTAGCAGTCTTTTCGTGGTTTCAAGCGTTCAAGCATGTGATATGATGCTGCTCCCGTGCATTAGGGTGGGTGTCAAGGTCACTTGAAGGAAAGGTCAGGTCAGGTCATCGACCTAGTTTGATGACCTCGGTTCACTTTTTCGAGTTTTACATGTTTGTAGGCTAGTTTTTGGAGCTAACTTCGAATTTAGCAACCATTTGAGCATTCACGAAGTAGTTTTGGTGGCTTCGTAACATGTTACGAAGCTGTTAGAGGCGATTGACACCTACTACGAATACCTACCCGGCAGGACCCCTACTGGTTGACTTGACCTGACCTGACCCAACCTGGCCTTATAAATGCATCAAGGCATCATCTGTAATCAAAACTAACTTGATATTCGTGATCAGCAGCCCGATAAACCCCGTAGCAGCCACACTTTACAACGTTTTAACAGGTCCCGATTTTCCCGACTTTGGGTGGGTGACCTTCCAGGTCAGGTCACCCAATGACCTAGGACCTTAAAATCAGGTATAATCGGCTGCCTTTCGTCTACTTGCAATTCCATATCTGATAGTCTGCCAGTGCTTACTCGTATATCGGGGGTCGGCAACCTTTTTTTGGTGCGGGCCAGATAGGTAAGCGATTCGGAAGCAGCCGGCGGGCCGGAGCATGGCATGGCTGCAATTTGCTACAGTCACACGCAAAATTGAGAAATATGACAGCGTAATTAATAGACTGGTGTACGGAAAATAAAATCGATTTATGAAGGTACCGAGGGCCGGAACGCAATGTTAGTTGCTGTTACCAGACGCGAGCCGAACGTCAAATGGTTGCGGGCCGAATCCAGCCCGCGGGCCGTAGGTTGCCGACCCCTGGCTTACATAGATCACCATCGATCTGGAATGATCATCTTTTGCCACCTGAGTAGGAAGTAGGTACGTTCCTGGTCCTGCATGGCCTTACCTACGGCAGGGAGGCTCTCCACGTTTCGATATGCTTTGTACTGCCAGCGTCCGGGTCATCTGAAATAATGCACTTTATTGCATGGCTCGAGCCATCCTGTTGGCAATCGAGCACATCACACCTCAAGAAAGCATGTTCAGTTATATAACAATCCTTTTCAGCCATCCGCAGGCTGTATCTTTCACAAAAATCAACTTCAAAAGTTACCCACTTAACATAGACCGTCTACAGGGGCCGGGAACTTCTGACCACTTGCAGGTGGCGCCACTGCGCCCCCATGCGGGAACGATTGCGGCGTGGGAGTAGGCCGTCTAGGTTACTATAGAGGTCAATGGGAGGCTCTGGTCTACAATTATGGAGCACATGTGACAATCACGAATGTAAGCAAAGAACTTTTGACTGAGAATTTTACAACTTGAATGTAAAGAAAATTAAATTGCTATAATTTTGTTAATCTTTTTTACTAAAATCGAAAACAAATTTTGCGTTTCAAGAGAGAACAATCGTCATTCTTTTGGTATCTATGACGCCAATCTCCAGAAATCTCCAGATTGCGATCCAGCGCCTCCAGTGAAACCTCTGGTAGAGCCTCCAGTCAAGAATTTCTACTGGAGGCGCTGAAACAGGCCCATTATACCATGCTCTTGCCTGATCTGGCAATATAAGTCATAAGAAGGTACTTACACAAGTGCGGGAACGGGGGGGGGGGGCAGTGGGGGCAGCTTCCCCCCCCCCCCAACTCTGGTGCCGTGGGGGCAGTGCCCCACAACTTTGAGATGGAATACCACACTTAATGCAAATGTTTTCGTTCTCTGTTGAAAAAGTCAAGGGATGAGAAATAAGTGGCCTAAAACCAGTGAGAAAACTAGATTTGGGGGTACCCCAGGTTGATCCCTATTATGGTGTGCCCCCCAGTCTGAAAGCAGTTTCCGTGCCCCTTGGTACCTATGTACATACTGGACCTGGTGGCAAGTACAGTCCACAGCAGAAGTAATGTGTGGTTTCAGTCATGGGATTGGGTATGTTCTGCTTCTGAAGCTTAGGAACGATTAGCCAGACTACAATGAAACTTTGAATGTAACTTATATGTATCGTCACCCTTGCAGCTGCAACTTTAGCTATTGACATCTTCTTTTCGATCACTCCGCATTAAACAATCGCCAGTCAAAGCCAACCGTTGAGATTGGTAAAACCCTACATTACTTTAGCGGTGGGCTGTACCTACCCATCCTACCTAATAGGTACAGTCCACAGCAGAAGTAATGTGGGGTTTCAGTCATGGGTATGTTCTGCTTCTGAAGCTTAGGAACGATTAACCAGACTACAATGAAACTTTGAATGTAGCTTATATGTATCGTCACCCTTGCAGCTGCAACTTTAGCTATTGACATCTTCTTTTCGATCACTCCGCATTAAACAATCGCCAGTCAAAGCCAACCGTTGAGATTGGTAAAATCCTACATTACTTTAGCGGTGGGCTGTACGTACCTACCTGCTAAACTCAGGTGTGGGCATCAAGCAGACATTTGTTGGGTACCTACCAGATTAGATAGTGGGGATGATAATGAAATTTTAGAAAGAGACGTTCCGGCCTATCACCTTTTATTAGGTACCTACCTGCTGTCTAATTAAGCCAACTTATTTGTTACAGTTGCCACTCTCTTTGCTGAGAACGGCCCAAAGCCATCCTATGGTGAGTGTTGGTTTTGCTCTTTTCTTTTAAATTGATATATAATATCAATATCAAGCAATATATCTATCAGTGCCACATTACACTCAGAGTTTATTGCATTATTCAGGTAAAAGAGTTAGTTAGGTTACTGTAAGCAAATTTTATTAAGCTAATTGGGATTATTTTTAATCAAATCATTGAATATCTTATAGTATTAACATTCTACTCCTTACAGTATTTTTGCATCATGAACATTATCATTATTATTATTATTATTATTATTATTATTATTATTATTATTATTATTATTATTATTATTATTATTATTATTATTATTACTACTATTATTAATATTATTATTCTGCCAGAAGTATCATCTCATTGACATGTCTGTTGTGTTTTGCAGCTGGTAGAGCTGAAAAATGGTGAAACGTACAACGGTCACCTGGTGAGCTGTGACAACTGGATGAACATCAACATGAGAGAGGTCATCTGCACATCAAGGGTGAGAATGACTCCTCTCTCTCTCTCTCTCTCTCTCTCTCTCTCTCTCTCTCTCTCTCTCTCTCTCTCTCTCTCTCTCTCTCTCTCTCTCTCTCTCTCTCTCTCTCTCTCTCTCTCTCTCTCTCTCTCTCTCTCTCTCTTTCTCTCTCTCCCTCTCTCTCTCTCTCTCTCTCTCTCTCTCTCTTTCTCTCTCCCTCTCTCTCTCTCTCCACCTCTCTCTCTCTCTCTCTCTCTCTCTCTCTCTTTCTCTCCCTCTTCTTCTTTTCGCTTCAAAACCACCTCCCCCTTTAAAGGAAATAGTTCACTTTTTAACATGGGTTTTGAACTGGAATAGCAGTTCCGTAGCTTGGGCTGAGACGAGCATAAATCAGGAGCTTTTACAGCCCAACGATCACCCTAGGCAAAGATATTCTATTTCTCGTCCCGAAAAAGGTGTCTTGCGTTGAGGATGTGTGCCTTGCATATATTTCCATCCAGTATGAAAAGAGCATGGGTCCCGAAAATTCTTCAGAAACTAGAGAAATTATCTACGAGAACTCTAGAGAAATTCTCGTACTGATCAATTAGGACATTCAGGGGAACATTATCAGATCGAGCAGATCGCCCAAATGCCGGTGGCTGCGATAATTTCTCTGTTTCTGAAGAATTTTCGGGACCCATGCTCTTTTCATACTGGATCGCGTGTGCCTTACAGAAACTGAAAAGTTCTTCCTATATCAAAATATAGAAAAAAAAATATTTTGTTATAAAAAGGTTTTATTTTCTTTGCTGATTATTTTGAACATAAAAAATCATAAATCGTTGCAAAAAAAATAATTTCGTGAAAGTGAACTATTTCCTTTAATATCGAACTAAGGTCAAACTCGAAATCCTCCTTTCCTCCCTTCCCCTCCCCTCCCCTCCGCTCCCCTCCCCTCACTCCCACAGTTTTGTTCAATTTTGTTATTTATCCACCGTCACATTTGCTGCCACCTTACACCGGCTCCCCATCGCCTCCAGGACGGTGACAAGTTCTGGAGGATGCCCGAGTGCTACGTGCGGGGCTCGACCATCAAGTACCTGCGTATTCCGGACGAGGTCATTGACCTGGTCAAAGAGGAGGTGGTCGGCAAAGGTCGCGGTCGGGGCGACGGCAAGGGTCGCGGCGGCCAGCGGGGCCGGGGGCAGCGCGGAGGTGAGTTGGGACTGACCAAAGTTTGACGGGTGGCTTGGATTAGAACGTGTTGAAGTAGGTTATTGATAATGATATGGTAGATTGGGGCCGAGTGGCGTCTGCAATGTCGTGAAACGTAAGATGTTTTTGCTTCACGTTTTGTTTTGTGTTAGCGTGTGCGTGTTTATTACCTGTTTGCTGAGTCACTAGTTGCAGGTCACTACCAAGTCACTACCCGAGTTACAGGGTACTAGCTGAGAAGTGACCTGTAGTTTTTTTTTTTACAATTAATCGTTCCTTTATATAGCCGTTATACTTCAGTTGAACCGTAGCTTCCTTAGTAGGCAATCGTGTTCCAAAGCAGTGTGTCTTTGACAGGTCTACCAGGCTGCGGTCGCTGACTGATTCTCTCTCCACCTGGCAGGTTTCGGCGGCAGGGGCCGCGGTGGCCGCGGCGGCGGCGGCAGAGGCGGCGGTGACGGGGGCTGGGGCGGCGGCCGCGGTGGTCACCGCAACTAACCCGTCCCGGCACCGTCCTCATCCTGAGCCCCAGGTCAGCCCGCTCTCACTGTTGGAGTCACCCCGGCCCTCCGCCGGCCGGTGATATCATGTGTCATGTTGTGTAGCAGTGTATGTGATCGCAGGGTCATGCCTCATTCATACTGTGTACCTACTCAGAGCCAGTGACGTGATAATACAAAGCACGCTGGCGCGATAGCGGTTTTGGGGACTGAAAGCGCTCATATTAAGACCAAAGTGAAGGGTTGGAAGTTGTAAACAACACTGTAAAGGACAAGTCTTTTCCCCGCCCACTATCCGATACTGTCGTTTTAGAGTGTTAATCGGAGGTCTCGGAGCGATGAAGGAATAGAAAACGGGCATTTATCTGCGAGTGCACAGTCTGTTAAATTACATGCGCCAGCGCTGTTGCTTGAACTTTGAGATTCACTCATCCCAGCGCGTGGGTTACTCTGTTACTGAGCTAGTAAGAAGGCGGCGGGAGCAGGAGCGACATCTATCTAGCTAAAGTACGGTATTCCTTGGCTAGAGGCGCAAGTATGTGCACAGTCATTTGACTCTCGACCGTACTGGCGTTTTCGAAGCTGCTAACGTAAAGGGGATGTGGGTCAATTGGACTACCCAACCATTCGGCCTCTGATCGAGGTAAAACGTCGTGAAAAGGAAACTATTGCAGCTTGTATAGCTTGTTGCCCGTGACTAGAGGAAGCCGATTATACCCAAGGTTCTTGGTCACTGGTTGAGCATTCAGTTCAGGTCAATAAGGTTTGGGGGCTCCTTTTAGCTCCTGAAATGAGGTTTTGATTTTTATACTTTTTTCGAAGTCTTGATGTCGAATTTCGGAATTGTTTTGTTCAAAGATGCATGTATTTCGGTTAGCTAGGGTAGGGTCGAGTCGAGTCCGGTCAGGTCTGCCACAAGGCGTCCCGCCGGCTATCCATAGTAGGAGTGAACCGCCACTGACAGCTTTGCAACATGTAGCATAGACACTAAAACCAGTTATTAGATATTCAGAGGTGTGCTACATTCGAAATCAGTCCAAAAACTTGTCTACAAAGTCTTGAAATTAAAAAGTCAACCAGGGTCATCTAAGATCAATGACCTTGACCTGACTGACTTTCAAGTGAACTTGACACTCAAGTGACCCGCCAGTCGCCATAAGATATGAGACAAACAATTCATATATTAGCACGTTTCTAATGACAGAAAGTCTGAAAAGGCACCGATAATATGCGCTGATATACGCCGAATCTCGATTCTTGCCTGGCGTAGTCTCGAGAAAGTAGAAACTGGTCACAGGTCAAAGGTCATGAAATTCGGGGTCATTAAACTTCCAGGGTACGTTTAAACCTAAATAACTCTAGGAAAATGAAAGTTTCGTCGGTATCCGTCGCTGTTTACGCAAGTGATTCGTTTTCTTGATAACCTTAGGGTTCCGTCCTGCCTCCTTATCATGGTGGTCCTACCCCGTTATCGCAGGCCTGCGCCCCGCGGGGGGGGGGGGGCAGAATCTGCCCCCTTCCCGTTTTTCGTCAATAACTTCTAAGCGCGTCAAGCCAGCGACATCAAACTATCAGTACCTTACCTTACCATACCTACATGAATTGGACATCTATTTCGCTTCATAGACTACAGAACTTCAAACGTCTCTAACATCTTTAGTTTTTAAAGAAAAAAAATGTATTTTGGCACATTTTTTTCTCGAATTTCTCGATTTGAGGGAAATCATTATAAAATCCAAAATTTTGAGTTTATCGAGAAAAAAAAAACGGAATATATGTTACAGAAGTAGTGTCTGCATCTATAGGGTGACCGGTTTTGCAAGAAGTTTCGAAAAGTTTTGCTCCCCAGGTCTAATCCAACGTATTTGGGGGTGCTGATCCCGAATCCGGCGGAAAAAATATAAAATTCGAATTTTTTTTGACCGCCCCGGCTCTTTGAATATTTCCCGTTTTCTCAATTTTTGCATGTTTTTGAATAATATGATGAATGTAATGAAAAAATATGAACAATGTATCGCTAAATGCATGTACCAGTCGATTCGGCATACAGCGACGTCGAAATCGGCACGCCGCCTGCTTCACCGGCCTCGCAGGAAAGCATAAGGCTCGGAAGGTTTGCGTTAGTTACCCGATTCTCTCCATAGATGGCGCTGGCGTAGCCGCCCGCCGGCCGGTCGTTGCCGTGCCGTTTACAGCCCCGGCGGTCACTTGCGACCGTCGTGGTCGTTATGCTACGTCTATCAAAGCACGACAGAAATGTTCACTTCATTTTTATGTTACTTCAGACATATTTTAGACCTAATGTTGAATTGGATAAATGACTATCGTGATTGGCGAAATAGTGGAGTGCGCTCGGGAGCCATTTACAATAGCGAGGAACGTAGGTGGATTGATCTGAGTAACATATGACACTGCGTTCACTGTTGATATGAAGTTTATTCACACTATGTAGTCGGGTGACATGAGAACAAAGTGACTAACATACCTTGTGTACGACACATGGATGAAGCTAATGCTACTTTTTCATTTTGTTTCGGTAGGCCCGTTTGTTCAGAGCGTAGCCGTCCTGTCAGTCTGCGCCTGTTACAGCTGTGACTGATTCGGTGGTCAGCTTTACAGCCCTTTCGGTGGATTGGGTATGGCAGGGGGCCCCCGTTTTAAGGGGAGTCTGTAGAAAGTCGCGCAACTCATCCTCGCTCATGTGTCGTACACAAGGGGGCTCAATGTCTCGGCCCTCGTCAACCGCTCGCTGCACGTTAACCAGTTCCATATAGTTGTTCGCTTGAACGTTAATTTCCGGCAGCCGGACTTGTGCCGAATGTGCTGCTGCTGTGGCGGTGGGGGTGGCAGCTTTGGCGGCGGTCGTGGCGGTGGTGGTGGTGGTGGTGGTGGTGGTGGTGGTGGTGGTGGTGGTGGTGGCGATGGCCGCCGTCTCTGTCGCCCCTGCTTCTGCTGTGGCGGGGGCATGGCATTAGGGCAGATGCAGTCCGCATAATCCAGAGCATTCGTCAAAAAAGGCAGCGACAGGAGCAGCCGCCGTTCCCGCCGCCGCCACAACAGCAGCAGCGGCGTCTGAAACGGCGTCGGCCATCACCACCACCACCACCACCACCACCGCCGGCACCGCCGCCACGACCGCCGCCAAAGCTGCCACCCCCACCGCCACAGCAGCAGCCCATTCGGCACTTCCGGCTGCCGGAAATTAACGTTCAAGCGAACAACTATATGGAACTGGTTAACATGCATCGAGCGGTTGACGAGGGCCGAGACATTGAGCCCCCTTGTGTACGACACATGAGCGAGGATGAGTTGCGCGACTTTCTACAGACTCCCCTTAAAACGGGGGCCCCCTGCCATACCCAATCCACCGAAAGGGCTGTAAAGCTGACCACCGAATCAGTCACAGCTGTAACAGGCGCAGACCGACAGGACGGCTACGCTCTGAACAAACGGGCCTACCGAAACAAAATGAAAAAGTAGCATTAGCTTCATCCATGTGTCGTACACAAGGTATGTTAGTCACATTGTTCTCATGTCACCCGACTACATAGTGTGAATGAACTTCATATCAACAGTGAACGCAGTGTCATATGTTACTCAGATCAATCCACCTACGTTCCTCGCTATTGTAAATGGCTCCCGAGCGCACTCCACTATTTCGCCAATCACGATAGTCATTTATCCAATTCAACATTAGGTCTAAAATATGTCTGAAGTAACATAAAAATGAAGTGAACATTTCTGTCGTGCTTTGATAGACGTAGCATAACGACCACGACGGTCGCAAGTGACCGCCGGGGCTGTAAACGGCACGGCAACGACCGGCCGGCGGGCGGCTACGCCAGCGCCATCTATGGAGAGAATCGGGTAACTAACGCAAACCTTCCGAGCCTTATGCTTTCCTGCGAGGCCGGTGAAGCAGGCGGCGTGCCGATTTCGACGTCGCTGTATGCCGAATCGACTGGTACATGCATTTAGCGATACATTGTTCATATTTTTTCATTACATTCATCATATTATTCAAAAACATGCAAAAATTGAGAAAACGGGAAATATTCAAAGAGCCGGGGCGGTCAAAAAAAATTCGAATTTTATATTTTTTCCGCCGGATTCGGGATCAGCACCCCCAAATACGTTAGATTAGACCTGGGGAGCAGAACTTTTCGAAACTTTTTGCAAAACCGGTCACCCTACAGTGCATCTATGTACATTCCAATTTGTAGAAGAATCGGTTCAAAAATGTACGAATTTTTCAATTTCCCATGACGTCACGGCACATCATATTTTCCAAAAATGTTTTTATTAAACGATCTAGAGTGTAGACTTCGTACAGGAACTAAAACAGTAGGTACCATTTGATTCTTCGTGAAAAACTGCCTCAGATAATTAGACACCTTTTGGGTCTAAACAACCAACTTCAAAATTTGACATCATTGACCTGACCTTGATCTCACTTGGCCTGACCTTGACCTGAAGTTCATCTTAATATGGTCCACATCACTAATTTAGTATGCCCAATGAAATATATGAATAAAATGACACATAAAACATCTGTCGCACATGTCCTATTCTGTACATTGCTTTTGGTGACCTGATCTGACCTTGACCTTGACATTTGTATGACATCGTATGCAACGCACCTTGTCTTGGTAGCGTAAGAACACGTTTTGGGTAATCAATCTCAGTCCATTCTTCGGTAACTTTGCTCCAGAGCCGATAATGTAGAAACTTTAATTGTTTATCCTCGACCTGACCTTGACCTGACCTCTGACCTACTTAGTCAAAAAAGGTTCCAAATGTCCTTCTTGTCGAGAGCTTTCGAGTACCGTTTTCCCGTCTTTCTACGGCCATTGGTCCAGAATTGTGAGCATAGGCGGCGGAACGGGGAGGGCACCGGGGCACCGTGCCCCCCTTTGATTTTGGTATTTAACATTAGCCCTATGGGCGTTGCATGGAAAGAATGGGACCAAAAGTCGGCAGTGCCCCCCCCCCCCTTAAAGGGACTATCCCACCTTTAACATGGGGTTTGAGTTGAGATAGCCAAGTTTGCGGCGAGGTTCAGAAACCACTATCTATCTAGGTTGCAACCCCCGCGGCCTCTTGGTGTTGAAGAAATTCGTTCCCTTGATTTGAAAATGGGCCTTGTACAAGATGTCCGTCAAGACAGCCCATATTCAGCCCAGATTCAGCCCGGATTCAGCCCAGATTCGGGACACCTCCGATCAAGATGAAACTCGCACACAATGTAGGCCATGACATGCCCAATCCACAGTCCAAGTCATTTGGTGGCACTCCTAGCCGTTTGACCTACAGAGATCAGCAAAGGTCACGTGGCCCAAATTTGCACAGCAGATTGTGGCCCACCCAGTAGAGCTAGAGCGCTAAAAATGGCACCAATCGACTCGCCAGCATCTAATCTTACTTTCCCAACACTCATTTGACCTCTCAAGGTCATGCGATGACCTAAGGTCATTTGTGGGCTATGTCGAAAATACACTTGCACAGCAGTTTTCGAGTAGATGGATTGACCGAATTCCAAATCAAAGCACATCATCCGGCCCAAGGCCCTATCTTCAACATGGAGCGACCGTTAGTGTGACGTCACCTCGTTTAGTCACTCTGATTTAAATGGGTTTGTTCGTTGAAAAATCGCTTAAAACTTGGTCTGAACTTTGTTGTGGTGCCTACAGAGTAAAAAGAATCAGCTTTATGACAGTAATGTGGCCTGGGGAAGGAGGTAATTTTGGGCTGTGACGTCACATATTTGAAAGTTTGTGTTTGGAATATGGGAAGCCTAAGATGTTTAATGAAAAATAAATGCCAGAACCGTGTTCCTGGTCATCCAATCTATAAAGTCGGGCACAATTTAACTGGTTTTAACAACATTTTAGAAGGTGGGATAGTCCCTTTAATTGAAGGTGTTCCGCCGCTACTGATTGTGAGATAGGGGGCAGAATCCCCCCCCCCCCCGCTCCCCAACAGGGCGCGTATTGCTGAATAGTGAATAGCCCAGCGGGGCGCGGGTTAAAGGTAGTGTGCCACCTTTGAAAGATTTCCCATTTTATTTTTCCTAGGATAAGACGCTTCTGTTTTTACCTAATATCGCAAAAAAAAATCAAAAATGGGCCTGGAATAGTGCCTTTTTCGCCTAAAAGTTTATCGGTTTTTCGATATGTATAACAACTGTAGTGGGCTCACCTGCAAACAGGCGTCGGCCAAGCGTCGGCAACAATCGCGAATGCGGCGCACATGTGACAATAAGCAAAGGTCATTATAGTGTTACGACCATACGACGTACGGGAATGAGTTATCAGCTGTCTAATCGTAGACAACACAATGTCGAGCCTTAACCCTCGCCCGCACATGGGGGTGGTGGTTGCCACCCCCCCCCCCCCAGGCAGTCTTTCTGCTCTGCACTCAACATTTTTAGAGCTAGAAGGCTAATTTTTCGTATAGCTGCTCGTCTATCCTTTCTTGATGTCCACTGAAAATTTCAAGTTTCTGTGATTTTTGGTTTTGGAGATATGACCTTGTTTTTCAGGTCATGTCATGACCCAAATGGCCAATTCTCAACATCTTGCGTTTGCCATGGGCCTTGTGAGCTTTTGACACCCTGATTTCAGCCTTTTTTGCCAGTCTTACCTCCCACCTATCATGGAACATGTTGTTCGACGATGTACAGGGGTCAAGGTCAGGGTCAAGGTCAACCTAGGTCATCTAAGATAATTGCGTTTTAGGCAAGCTGAATTTACTTTTTGTGAAGTTTTTTGACTGCATTTTTGGTAAAAGCTTCTCAGATCATGATTTCATGTGATATGGACCCAAAAACAATCGGTGCGCACATCAGTATACACACAGACACACACAGACATACAAACACATATAATTGACCTTGACCTAACTTGACCTGAAATGACCTCAGCAGCAAAATTCTGGTCGGATAGTGTGACAAAGAGGTTCTAGCTGGCTTGGCACCAGAAAACAGCATCGTCATCGGTATTTGATAAGCAGCGCCCTTGATATCCAACGGTGACCCAAAACAGCAACATTTTTTAGTTTGACCTGACCTGGAAGGTCAATGACTGACCTGAGAAGGTAAAACTGGGTATCATTGGATTCGTCTCTTCCCAAAGAATCTTTTTGGTCTTTACTGCTAAGCTCTATCTCCAACAGGAACGAAATGGCGCGGGGGGGGGGTGGCAACCACCCCCCCCCCCCATGTGCGTTCTAGGATGGGAAAATGGCATGTGCGGGCGAGGGTTAAACTGTAAGCCTGTATTGGTATTGTTTCTTTTATTTGCCTGTCGAACATTATTTATGGTTTGAAATATGATTTTATGTAAAATAATTGATATGAAAAAGCCGTCTCATAAGTTATGACCCAATGTCACCACACGCAAGTGGCAGAAATGACAATGATCAGCTGACGCATTTTTCTTGGCCGAAGTCAGAGCGCGCAGCCCGACGCACCACCACCGCACCACAAAGTATGAGCAGAAGCCGCGCCCAAAGCCAGGGCCCCTGTAACGTGAGGTAGCCGAGTCGGGGCAGCGTGCGCTGACCCAAGCCGGGGCCGCAGCTTTGGGCGCGGTCTACCGCATCCCCGCGGGCAGCCCCAGGCTATCACATGACACCGGGAGGACGCGCGGCTCCGGCTTGGATCAGCGCACGCTGCCCTGACTCGGCTACCTCACGTTACCGGGGCCCTGGCTTTGGGCGCGGTCTACCGCACCACCTAACAGGCGTGTTCGAAACCGCAGGAGCTGATGATGAACGGGTTTATCGAAACTTGATTGGATGAGCATATCGGTAATAGCGATTTCAGTGTGTGCATTTATTGTTCATAGTGGTGTGAAATGTGGTTGGGGTACGACCGACAACCCGTCGGGGCGAATTTCACACTGGGGTACTCAAAATTTGAAGAATTTAAGACGTTTCCATGAGTTTTGAAGGTATGGATAAGTTCTAAAAATCCGGTTCTCCTTATCTGGGCCATTAACTCCATACGGTCCAGGAAAGCTGGCACACTACCTTTAAAAAGCTAGGAAACTTGGCGAAGAAAGTATTGAGCGCATTTTGGAAATTGTTCCTGTATCATGCCGATCGTCGACAGATTTGACCTCAGTGCATCCGGTAAGCCTGCATATGTCAAGCGGTGTAACACAACTGATGTTTGCAATGTCGATTTTCTACGGCAGCCCTTTTGGTGACGTAGTAACTAATTATAAAAATAAGAATTTAGCACCATAAGATTCCTCTCACTGACAGGCGTGGAATGATATTTGTGTTGCCAGAAAAGGTCAAACAGGAGGTGTTCATTGCGATTCCGACCACTTGCAAAACTATGACTGAATTTGATTGAATGCGTCCCAGTGATTGGCGCCGAGTTACTCCATGGCATACACAAGGGTTTTCTTCATTCAGAAAGCGATAATCGACTATTTAGATCTACTAATGTTGCAACAGAGCACGCTGTCGACGCGAAATCCATCTACGGATTTTACCCGCTGCTACTGACGGTTTCCTACCAGTTTGCTGCGGAACCCCCGCCCTACTTGTCGGTACCACCCGTGCTTGACTCACCACCCCCTGTGTCACACTCACCCGCCCCCTGGTCTCCCCCCCCCCCGTATACCGAGGGGGTCACCCGGTGTTTCCCACACCCCCACTAGATGGCGCTCGGCCGGTCCGCCTGCCCTCCACTCGGCCACTGAGCGGGCACATCTCGTGGCCGGCCGGCGGACAGTCGTTCGCGATGGCGCGCTGGGCTTGGTTGTCGGTGCTGGCGCTCTGTGTGATGGGTGAGACGGTCGAGCAGAGCACGTGGACTCGCTCCCGAAGAGAACACATACTCAGTCGGCACTACCAGCGGCTGGCCAGTCACAGGAGGATGCACAGACCCAGCACTCCTGACAGGACTGAGAGTCGGTGGTCGCAGCGACCGAGCGTGCCCGAAACGGCAGACCGCCGGTGGTCGCCGAGAGTCAGTGATTTCGAGACATCTGAGCACCGGTGGTCGCAGCGACCCAGTGTTCCAGAGACGGTACAGGAACTGGAGAGCGATTCTGATTCGTCTGCACAGGTGAGACTCGCTTGTGACTTCGTTGTCTTGGGGTGGACCGATCGTTGACATGCCATGTAATGTTGAGATTGATAGTGAAGGATCGGGTTCTTGAGGAGATGGGCTAAGCGGTAAGATCGAGAAGAGAGGAGAGGGTTGCAGAGGCGCAAAGATACCTACCTGGCATCTTCAGATGCGACGGAGAGTCACGTCAGGTCCCATGCAGAGTTTCTTTTAGAGTCGAGCTCACCTCAGGAACGGTCATCAGTTGTGTAAGGAAGGTCAGGGTGAACAGGGTGTTTTATGGCTGGCTGTGCTCCTTGGTCCGTCAGCCTGTGATGAAGCCTGAAGGTATTTCTCCAGAGAATCCGCCCGATTACGTAGAAGGGATAGTCATTTTGCATAGATGAAATCGTATCTGTTTATCCTATCCTCTTAGTTTATTTCAGACTAGCGATACCTTGGAGGGTGGTATGTGCGAATTGCATACCTACTTTGGAGGGCGCTATTAAATATCCTGACACTATGATGCTTGATGCTCTTGTGAGTTGTGTTTGACATCCTTACCACGCTGCCACCCTATTTATCTATATCTCGAGGTTGGGATTTTGAACGAGGCGGGTACAGCGCAATGATAACTACTGGGAGGAAAAGTGGTCATGTGATAAGCCATAAGGTGATCTCGCTCTATCATTGTGCTTTAAATAACTAGCGGTACAGGTAACTGTGCATTCTACAAACAAATATTACCAAGCATATAAACTTCATGATGCTTAAGTTCCCTTCTTCTTTTGTTGATGAGCACGACATGCAACTACTTCAGAGCGAGCCAGTAATTACCTGGGCTGAAACCGGTTTCTGTAGTCTCGACGCATCCCCGATTGTAAGGATGAAGCAGAGGATGAAGTGCCTACATATTCTACCCATCTGTTATGAATAGAATTCGGTAGCATGGAGGCACTGGCGGCCGTGAGAGGAGGCGTGGGAAACCCAACCGCTAATGGGGAATCGTCACCTTCAGCTCATGCCTCATTCGTTATGTTTTCTACACATTTACGTTCACGGTCATACGATCTGGACATTCCCGGAAACTGTTAGATGACATTGGATAATAAGCTACCAACGCGGATATAAATGCAAATATCGACTACTACAGATACCAAAGCGCGATACTTGTCGAGATTGGTACCGTATGCTATGTCCAACACCAATGGAAGCTGTGCAGTGCAGCACTGCACAGTGCTGGGCTATCGCTGCATTTATTTATTCAGCTGTCGCATGGTGTCGTCTGGCCTTTGCAGCCGCCTTGCCGCCATCAGTATTATCTGATTTGCCCTATACGGAAGAAGCTTGGAAAGTCCCTAGCTTCTGTCATTTCCAGTTGCTTCTCCGGAGTGCGCAGTTCGTTTAAACTAAACAGAAACATGTGACTTGCGATTTGTTATGCAAAATGTCCGTCTGTTCTCTGACCCTGCTATTTCCTGCTAATTAAAACCCTCTCATGCTTAAGTTCGGGCAGTCTAGGCCAACATCAAAGGCCTGCTACCGACATAGCGTAGAAACTTATGCATTGTATCACAGTTCCAAGCGTATTTCACGTTATGTCAGCAAACCGTCTATAAAATGTTAACATTTGTCGCTCACAGCGTCGGCATTGCGCAGTGCTCTAATATGAAAATGACCTAATGCTGGGCACTGCTATTCGACCTGTTTATGTTAAAAATGGCACGGGATCGCGACCCCTGGTTCTCCGAGATGTGTTTGAAGGCTTATAACATAGACTTCAGTTAAAAGAATCTGGCTTGATCTGTGATACTGTATACAAGGTGATGTACCGTTAAATCACTCAAGCAAGCAGTGTGCAGAAAGTGTGCATTGTATGCTAAATTTGAGTGGATGTATCGTTACCACTAACTTCAATCGTTCTTCAATATTTACGTGATAAAAGTTTTAAGAAGCACAATGCGCAAGTCGCAGTTACAAACGCAACATTTGCAACTTAAACCGGTAAATGCACCTGCGACACCGGCATATACGTAGAAGTGCATAGTCGGAGTATAAATGCGCTGTCGACTGTTTTGTGCGCCGTTCTTGGTTTCTTTTTTAGAGACGCCCCAGAAACTCAACAGGACCTTTTACTCACTTGATAATTTTGTGCTTAGTTTTTAAGCCTATCTTTAATCGCTTGTTTACCTTACAGTTACCTACGTAATATCGGTTTTCAAATTTCTTTCAAATTTCTCACTTTAAATGATTATAAAAGGTGTTTTCATAATCTACTGTGTCGAGTCATGAAATGCTGTCTCTCGTTTTCGCTCCGTGGGCTAGCTCAGTCGGAGTCAGAGCCGCAGAGAGGAAGGTGTTTCATCCCCCCACCGCCACCGCCACCGCCACCGGTCGACAGGTAGCCATAATCACTTCCCGGCGAGCTGGTGTTCTTTTCCAGCTGCGCTCATCGCTCACAGTCCTGACTTCTATACATGCCGCCGCCGCCCTTTTTGTTCCCCGACTACGTCACCGGCTCCATTAGAGCATAATGGCGCCTGACGACCTTCGGTGTCACCTACCTCAGCGTGACGTGCCATCTTACTCGAACATTCTGGCACAATGAGCTTCACAGGCTGTCGGCGAAATATTTCTGTCCGCATTGTGAATCTCTCGGAAAAGGAAACCCGGGTAGCGGCGTTTCTTTTTGACGATCATTTGGGATGGATTTAGTGCTTGTTCTTTGGAGATCATTTGAATATAAGCGAAATAGTTACTTATCACCGGTCACTTATGATTATAATCAGTAGAGTCACGCTGACGATTGATCATGTTTTAGCATAGGCTCATTCTTCATGGCCTAAGCGGTACCTGCTGTTACTAAGCAGCACCGATAGCTTATTTCTTGCTGTCCGAAATACAAATCACAAATATTCATGCATCGATAGTCCAGTTATTAACAGAGTAAAGTTATCGACAACAACCTGACGCTATCTGAAAAGCCAGGGACAGTTGCATCTGTAGGTATACCTCGGTCTGCTGAGGACACCAGCGGCGTTTAACCCGCGCCCTGCTGGGGGGGGGGGGGTGTTTGAACACCCCCCCTTGTGGTTTTTCGCAAATATCTCAAAAACGGCGGCGCGGAGCGCCGCCGTTTTTGGTACACCTTATCATACATCAATTCTACACATGTTGTGAAAATTTCAGACCAAGGTCATTCAAGGTCAGGTCACCAGGTCACTTGAAGTGACCTCACCTCATAAAAACTTTCAATGTCTGTCATAGCTACACCGAGTGACCGATCGCTTTGAAACTTTCAGCAATTGCTAAGAGCAATAGCATGTACAAAATGTATATCTCAGAATTTTGATATCGATGACCTAAGGTCAGGTCAATTTTGCGACCTCCCCATTATAAGTCAATGGGAGAAAATTGAAATGCGCCTCTTTTGGACGAAGGACATCATAAACACTCCCAAACACCGAATTACAAGTGGTTTAGACACACTGAACATGAAAATGGTGTCCGTGACCCTTGTTTGTGCCCTGAGGTCATCTTAGGTCACGAATGGTATCTAACAGTTTTTCGCAAATAACTTTTGATAGAGGCATGCTAGAGCGATGAAAACGCCTTAGATGTGTTCAGCTCGACGAGACGGATCGACTGATATGCAACATGACCCTTTCCGGTCAGGTCATGACCTTGACCTGAGGTCAAATTTTCAAGTTGACCTTTCAAGGTCAAGTTATAGTTCATTCGATGCGTCTTGACGAGAGGAACACGATGCCGGTAAAAGTAAGCTCATTCAAGGCTTGGGTCAAAAGTTATTGCAGAAAAACTGTTTTCGAAAAAATCGGCTATTTTTGCAGTTTTTGCCCCCTGCAGGCAAAACCGTTGACGTTAGGTCAAATCTGAGAGAATTACTCAGAAAGGGCGTTAATAGGGCTATCGAATGCGCTTTTCCGCGGCGCTGTAGCTCTATTGGTTCCCGAGTTATGCGTTGGCTTCTTGGAAATTTTCGACATTCGACCTGGAAATCGGCGAAATTTTGCCTTCAATGACCTCTGGTGACCTGACCTTTGACCTGACCAAAAAATTGACCGAAGTGATTTCGTCATTATTTTTTACGCTCTTTCGAACGCCGCCTTCCGCGTATCGCTACGTAGCCCAGGAGCCGAGTTACAAGGGGGGGTGTTCAAACACCCCCCCCCCCCCAGCAGGGCGTGGAAATCCAGGACCCCCAGCAGGGCGCGGGTTAACGTCATCGGTAGAATACAGAGCTGGTCATTTACGACAGTGGAGTGCCATCGGAGGCCTTTGACACTTCAGATCAGATAAGATTCCGATCTTATTTACAGTCAACGATCCTCTGCATCAAGGCCGCCGGCTGTGGCCAATGAAAGGTAACCGAATCTGCGCTCCGCGCCGGCAATGTGCCGTCTGTTGTTACTATTGGCGCACGTGTTTAGTTACGCGTGGCCCACATGAGTGCGGCGGCGGATTGCAATTTGCAACCCCCGAACGCCTACATCCGGTGCAGCGGCAGCTGCGTCCGTACGGAAAAAGTCAGCCGGTGAAACCTGAATTGGAGAGTCGCATGTCGTGGAAGCAGTGCCGGTCCGCCCACCTTTCATTGGATCGGTCCCAGCAATGCCTAAATACCAATGACCTTGACGGACTCCCCATCATATAGGGGAAGTTGGGGCAATGCCGGAGTTGGGGCAAAGCCGAAATTCGAGATATTTCGAAAACCGTAAGACATGGATGCCACCTGTCAGTGATGCTCTGAAGCTTAAGTGACTACAATTATCGCATGTTTGTTACGAGTCGTCATTCGGAATACTTCGGCTGTGAGGGCGCCAAGAGCGTTTTCAAGGTACGCGTTCCTTGTACTACATGCGCCTTTGAAGCTGCATTTCTTACTCATTATGCTACCGTTTGTCTGGCCAATTCGGTCAAGTAATCTTCAGCTTGTTTTTGCATAAGTGTGCTGCCTATTTGAAATTTATACGGCACGTTGAAAAGTTATGGGCCTG